TTGGTATAATGAGTATTTAAATATTTAAAAGGAGAATGTTCCTTTCTACCACCCCCTTCCTTTTTGTGCTAAAATAATAATGGTTTTAATCAAAAGTAATTTGTATTAATATACATTTTGCCCCAGGTGTTAAAGGCAGTATTCAAGAGTAGTGGTGAGAGATGTTAAGTAAGACAGTTTATTAATATAGACAATTACTTCTATCCTTGATAGTAGCAAAAATGGAGGCAGCTTTTGCAACCAGAACAACCTGACTCTTCTCTTGGCCTCTGCAAGATGATTATAGTTTAGGAATTAAGGGCAGTTCAATTAATTTTAAGTACCCAGTTATAATTTTCTAAAGGACTATTTTGAATTCAATTGCTCTATCTTCTCCTTGATGAAAATTCATCAATTAAACACCCTGTACGATACACACACATGCACACACAAAAAAAAAAAAAAAAAATAGGCAGAAGACCTCTGTCAGAACATGTCTGGAGTAGGCAAAAGGTTGTGTGTGTTTCCACATTGCCATTACACCACCTGTGATCACTAGGGGATGTTTTTCCTGACAGGGCTGGAGTCTAGATGCTCAGGTGTACACAATTCCTCATCACAGAGTTCACAGAACAACTGGATTGACCATTTACATAAACAGGAAAACTTTTCAAATTTATATGATGTACTTCATTTTACAATGCATTTGTGTTTTTAAAATAATATTTCTGAGAAAAAAAAAAGTACCTAAGCCTTTCTGGTGTAAAACTTCCTAGTTTTACCACCTTGAGAGGTGGGTTCACGAAGTCCAACTACGCCAAGGCAGGGCCTCACACCTGGGTCGGAGCAAGCCCAAGCATAAACACAGGCTGGGCGGAGGATGGATTGAGAACAGCCCCAGGGGAAGGACTTGGGGTGCTGGTGGACGAGCACGAGCCAGCAGTGTGTGCTCAGAGCCCAGAAAGCTGATGGTTTCCTGGGCTGCACCAAAAGAGGCGTAGCCAGCAGATCAGTGGAGGGGATTGTCCCCTCTACTCCACTCTGGAGAAACCCCACTGTACTGCTGCACCCAGCTGTGGGGCCCTCAGGAAAGGAAGGCCATGGAGCAGTTGGAGCAAGTCAGGAGGATGCCATGACGATGATCAGAGGGCAGGAGTACCTCTTCATGAAGACAGAGTTGGGGCTGTTCAGGCTGGAAAAGAGAAGAGCTTTTTTACCCCAAGGGAGCCTACAAGAGAGAGATGTTTTACAAGGATATTTAGTGATAGAACAAGGGGAATGGCTTTAAACTGAAAGACAGTAGATTTAGATTAGACATAAGGAAGAAATTCTTTACTGTGAGGATGGTGAGACATTGGAATAGGTTGTCCAGAGAAGTTGTGGATGTCCCATCCCTGGAAGTGTTCAAGGCCAGGTTGGATGGGACTTTGATCCATCTGGTCTACTGAAAGTCTATCCCTGCAGGGAGGCTGGAACTAGACGATCTCTAAGGTCCCTTCAAACCCAATTTTTTCTATGATTCTATCTTAATGTTCTCTTTGTATGACTATCTGAAATCTTGTGATCCTTATATTAATCATGAAGGAAAAAGGAAAAATGAAAACTCCTAACAACTTCAGAGGTAAAATTAACATTACTCATTCCCTCGTCTGGCATTGTCTTCTATCTTCCCTAGAACTGACATTTTATACCTATTCCAGCTCACACACTACTGATTTTTAATACAACTAGTTTTGAATTACCTCTAAATGGAATACTAAATGCCTTCAATACTAATACAGTTCAACTCCTAGCTGCCAACTTACCTGCAGCACCAGCATGAGAAACTCTGTACAATATCTTTTGAGCAAGATCCACTTGAAAGCATTTTATTTTATACGTGGCTTTATCCTTATTCTAATCAAGTACTTATTAAATTCCACGAGGCTCACGCACAAATCCCAGTGACAATGGTTTGTGAAGGAAGATATTAAAAGCAGAAAGAGAGCAGGAAGGAGCGCATCTTCCCCAGGGATGAGGAGCTCATTCGCACGGACGCGCTAACTAGCGGCTGCCATCTGCCGGCTAGAAAAAGAAAATTTTCTGAAAAAAATTAGGAAATTGTCCCGGAAGCAACTTCCCGATGGGAATTCAAGTTTTGACAGACTCTTTGTGTCACGTTGGGGGAAAGGTGGCTGGCTGTTGGCTTCCCGGGACACAGAACAAGGGGCGCAGTCAGCCCTGACTCGCTTGCATGGTAGAAACACAAAGTCGGGCGGGCTCCAGGGCAGTCAACATCTTTTGTTGCTGCTCATAGGGTGATTGAAAGATCCAAACCTGAGCATAGTGATGGAAAAAACTGGCTGTCCTGCTAGTTTTCTCCTGATGAAAGAGTTTCCAGGTAACAAAAAGACGGAAAGTGGCACTACAGAGAGGAGTGGGTGAAATACCACAGACAGGTCTTAGAAAGCAGCTGTTAATGTACCACCTCCCCTAGCTACAACCCCTACCAACTTGCAGAGAAGCACAGCAGCAAAGACCACCTCTCTCTGCCTCATTCTTCTTTTTCCCTTTGCTGGGAACAAGCTTTTTAAATAAACAAATGAAATTATTCCTTTAAATGAAAATAAATTGAAATTATTCAATTAAAATAAAAATACAATTGCAATTCTGTGCATTATCTGCATCCAGAGACATGCTTACACAAAACCAAGACTTTCTTAACTGCAGCCTTTCCATCAACCACAATGCCTATGTAAATACATAAATAAAAAGCAATATGGCCCAAAATTAGGAACTGTGACAGGCATGGTGCAGGTGGTGCATGTGCTTTGGCTATCCCATGGAAAGGCACTGAAGAACACACAGTGTAACTTGTTACAGAAATAAGCAGCCTCTCCCACAGTTCAGCTGCTCTCTCCTTTGGAGACACTGTTCCATAGCCAGCTCAAACACAGGCTTACCTTGTATGAAATCCTCCTTCCACAACTTCTGTTAATGGGAGCCATGAATTAGATCTCTATCAGAAAAAAATAAGTCCAACCTTCCAAAGACTCTAAAATTGGCTGCTTTTATACTTTACTGTGATTATAAACAGAGTTTCAAAAAATTTTACATAATTTCAAACCATCCCATATCAAAAAACCCTGACCAATGTACTCAGGGCTCCTAAAGTCCTGCCAAGTGCTTCCTGAATCTTACATGCTGGTTTGTACTGGGGAACTTCTCTAGAGAGTCACTGTCAGGAGCACTGGGATGTGGCACAGCCAGGGAGGCTCCACACAAGCAACCAACAGGAGGCTAAAGCAGCACGCAGGCTTTATTAAAGAGATGAAGGGCATGGGGAGCACTGGGCACCCTTAAGCACCTGGCAGGTCTCATACCCTGCAGCGCTCTCTTCAGAACTGCTAACTTCTCATTCATCAAAAGGAGGAAAGATTGCTGTGAGAACAAAATTTAAAACTGAATTAAAATTAAAACAAAACCAAACAAACCCACCCCAAATCAACAAAAAACCCCTACATTTTTTAGCTACTTTGCTAGAACCCTAGATGTTCTCCCTCAGCCCTCATCAGTCCTGCAAGCCAAGCAAATACTCATCTCTGCTTTCCCCATGAGGACCACCAACTTCAGTTCCCATTCCCACCTGACACAATACTCAAACCAATACATTCAAGCTGTCAGAGCCATGCAGATTAATTTTATCCAAAAGAAACAGAGTGAGAAAAAGAGGCCACCACAGCAGGAAGAAAGCTAGAGTAAAACTAGACAAGACAGCATTGCACCCTGCCTCTGCATCCTGTTCCCTCCTGTGACAAACTACAATCATGGCTGCAGCTAGCAAACGATTCTGAGTAGCTGGATGCTTTTGTCTTAAATTTTCTTCTCTGTTCTGTCTTTTTTTTGCCTCAATTTTTATTTTAAAGGGTAAAACAAAGAGAAAATATAGCATCACAGAAAGAAAAAAGGCTATAGAATTCCATAATAGAGAAGGAATGAACAGGTTTTACACTCACAAGACCTTTGACAAGGCAGCAAGCATGGTATTCTTCCTGTGCACATCAGTAAAAAGCTAAAATAACTACATCATCAGTCAAGGATATTGCCCTCGTATATACATCTCCAATGTACCAGGAATTTTTAAAAAATTAGCTGGATTTCCTTGAATGCTGCAATGTTGCAGCAGAAAGTGCACCTGAGCAGTGATCCCAGGATATGTTGAGCCTATTTTCACTTCAGGCAAATACTGTTTTCTTATCACAGAATTGGAAGTTTACAGCGAGTTTACCTGTACACGTCAGTACCTAATCATGTACTCTACACTCCTCTCCCAACTTAAAATATTCTTAACTGTTTCAAAGAAATCCAAAAAGACAAGCACATGGCCCTTAAGTAAAGAAGTTTGCAGGAACATATTACAGACAGCTCAAAAGTGCTGTGATGGCACCAAAAGGTTTCAGTAAAGTTCCTGGGATAGAGATTCAGGATGCAGGATTACAGCAGAGCAACAAACAGACAACCAGTCATTTTGTGAAGGTTTTAAATCAGAACAGCTTATATTTTATCTTTTAAATAAAAAATGGCTTTGGTTTCCTAGTCAAGAGGGACAATAAAGAAGACTTGTTTTCATAAAGAGCATGATGCTAATCAAGACAATCTGCAGCACACATATGTATTTTTGACCACCCTTATACTTAAGTTACCTTCACAAAAGTAACCCACACAGCTAAGTAGTTAATAAAAAGTTATCTTGGGTAAAACTCAGGTGTTCTTTCAGTAGAGTATCAGAAGTTCTTGTGATTTCTGAAGCAGTTTTTCCCCCAGTTTTCCAAGCAAGGCATCTGATCCCATTGTTGTCAGTGATGCTTTGTCCAACTACAACCTACAGTTAACAGGTTTGGTTCACCCACACAGTTGGCCACTTGTAGTTCAGCAGCAACAGTCGACCTTTCTTCATCATACAGGTGGGAAAACTCTCACAATAAATGAAAATTTTCTTAAAATACTTACTCATGCAATTTCCATCAAACTGATACACATCACCCAGTTAACACTCTATTTTTTCAAGAATAATAAATACATTTATAAAAACTTGAGTTAGAAACAAAGACATAACTTGGCTTCCCTTACCCATTCCGCTCTTTGGTAACAGTCACAATATCTTTCAACTGATGGTATATTTACAGAACAGCCAACTGGTAGCTTCAGAGTAACAAATAAGATTGCCATTCATATAATTAACACCCAGCACCATCTCAAAAAACTCTAGAAAGCATCTCTGCATAGCTATGAATATCTAAATACTTTTTGAAAACTAGACCAAGGTTTTCAGGAGTGTGTAGAAGGACATTCAGAATTGAATAACGTAGATACTTCCAAGTCTCTCAGCCAGGAACACAAATCACCAGACAGATAGAGTCCAGCTCCCCTTTGCTCAGATCATCAGCAGCAGTTTGCATCCCTCAGCCTGATTCAAGTCCTCAAAACAGAGCTCACATTAAAATCTATTAAATGAATTCAAGGAAAACTAATACAATCAAAGTTACATAAGGAACAGAGCCGTCAAATAAAGTAATCCCTTGTCCAGAAAGTATTTTCCCATGAATTACAAAGTTTTGGTACAGCAGCGTAAGTTTTTAATAGTACACTAAGAACAGAAAGCTTTCATTTCCAATAGCATTGTCAAAGTACATCTTAAAGATGATTTAAGCTTTAGGTTTGCATAATTTGTTTGGTTTTCTTAAAGCAGAGTGCACACAAAACACTTGCAGCACTTTTATTTGGGGATTATTTGAACAGTCTATTCTTGGGTAGCCGACTTGTAATGTTTCAATGTGCGTGCAGAAGGATCAGTAGCTTTAACCCATCTTGGCATCCAGTAGTGGGGCAGCCAGCTGCTCCGCCCTGAGTAGTGCTTCTCAAAGATCTGGCGGTAGTAATAACTTTCTTTTGTTTTAGGAGGATTGAAAGGATATTTCTCTGCTGCCTTCTCCAGTAAAAGGTCATCAACCTACAGACATAAGAAAAACTCAAGCTGCAAATATCTTCAACTTTTTAAAATACACAAGGATTCACCAACAACTAAACATCCACAGTTTTGAGAAAAAAAAGTCTATTCTAGAGACACAGGTTTGACAGGTCAAACAAACCTGTGTCACCAGCTCACTTATCTTTATGAATATGTAAATGTATTTCCAGGGCTGTTGGTATTTCTCTGCATGACATGTGAAGCCCATTTCTCTGGAACACAACCACCTCTGTCAGTAAGGTCACAGACACTTCTTTCCTAACCTTCCTTTGCAAAAGTGCAAAAACTCAAAGCAGTCATTTTGCCATGTAAGTGGCTTCCTAGGTTGTTTTTGTAGCTTGGGGAAGGGTTGGCTGTTACAATCAACACCAATAACCACGCTCTTAGCAACAGAAGACCTGGGATGCAGAGGCAAAGACACCTGCAGTTGCTAAGTTGGCTGAGAAAGGAAGGATAAATAGTTGCACCAGCTGAGGCAATATCAATTAGCAGTTTTTGCTGCCACCATGCTGTTTAACTTTTCATGTCTGTGAAACAGATTTGCTGCTCCTACAGCAGTACAGGCTCAGAACAGGCAGCAGAACACTGTTGCCTGACCCAACTACTTTCTTGCCTGAGAAGACAGAGAAAGAAAATGGGGAAGAAAGAGTTGGAGGTAGGACAGACAAGCTCCCATCCACAGGCTTGACTACATGTAATCAAGCTCTAGTGTAAAGAGGGTCTTATTCCTTCCTCCCCATGATTAAACCACTTCTGCACTCCAGAGAGGATTATCCTTTGTACAGAGTAAAAATGCTGTAAGTCTTCACTGGTTAACAATGCAAACAGAGGCTCTAAAAAGCAAAAAGGCTTAGCTAGGGATGGCTTTGAAAAATGAATGACGCAAACAAGAAAGTACATTATAAGGTCATTATGTTGTTACTCAGCTGCAGAGTAAGTTCATGCAAGTGCCTTCAGCTGAAGCAGCTGCTTTGTCTGTAATCCAGAAATTGTGTTTGTTGATACGCAATCTAATTTGCAATCCAGACACTTAAATGATGTTCATTTCCTTACACAGTCATTTCTGGCAGGGTCTACCATTTCTTTCTAACTAGGATCACAAATGTCTTTAATCAACTCAGACATCTAAAAGAATATTGATTAAGGTTTATCTTACTCCTGCACAAGTTAACTGCTATATCCAGATTTATTCTCCCAACTAAGCATGTGAGCTGCCTCCCACTGGCAACCATATCTAACACACCTAAGAGAGAAAGGAAAAAGTGTTATTCTACCTGTTGATCAATATAGTCCTGAAGAATGGAAAACCAGGATTTCTTTACTGATGCTATACCATCACTGAAAGCTTCTTTGGGTCTCCAGAGAATTTCTTTGGGAAGTAAATTGGAATCCTCAAAGGACAATCTTAAAAGGTATTTTTCAATTCCATTCTGTTTGTAGAACAAAAAACAATGTCATGAGTCTCAGAAACTGCAGTGCAAAGATCTGGATTTAAACACTTATAAAATGGTTTCTTTTCAAAAGTTTTGGTCAGAAAAGGGCTCCCAACAATTCAATAAAATATTTAAGAGCATGCTTGACTTTGGGTGGAGGACTTAACCATCGAACTCAGCAATCTGGTCATGCTTAGAACACGTATCAGTGAATTTGTAAACATACATTTGCATCCCATCCTAGTTTTATGTACCTTTGGGATTCGCAGTTCTGCTGGCAGAGATAAATAATAAGAAGTAAACCGATGATCCAAAAATGGGACTCTCAGTTCAAGGCTAGGCAGGGGGAATAAACAGAAAAGATACTGAATTAATACAACAAGTCATCTACTTACAAATTTCACAGCTTTTAAGCTTTCCCTGTCTTTCACATAAACACCAGGTTTTCTGCTTTTGCTTGGAACAAATTTCACTTGCAGATTTACAACTACCTGAATTTAATTCACCAATTTGTGAAGTAAGGTGTATGGTCTACACAGATTAAAGACTATGATGTTTTATAATGCCATATGCCCTGGATTTACAGACTACAGTCTATAGGATCTGCAACAACCATTGCAAAATGTATGCAAAAGCACATTTTAAAAAACCCTCTTTCTCTCAGACAACTACCAAGCTGCTCACTAGGATTTGCATCAGCCTTTGTAAACATATCATAGAACCAAGCAAGGACTTCTATATTTCTGAAATCCACATTTGTTTGTATTGTCAAGAAACAACAAAAAGGAGCCCTACAGCATTCACACAAGTTCTCTCTATACCAGTGGTAGATGTACACATACAAAGCCTTCCTGCTTTTGTGTACCACAGCTTCTAAGGACACAGAAGGCAACAAATAAAATGACAGTAACTGCATCTTCAGCAGAAAGAATCCCTCTCGGACTGTCTGCTCAAGAGACATTATGCTGTCCAGCCTCACAAGTGAAAGGAGATCTTATACTGAATCCTAGTAATTTCACTGTCTCTTTAGTTTTTACTCTGATAAAAAGCTTCACCTACTTCAGGTAATACCCACCTTACAAAAAAACCCCAAATTAACCCAATACTGAGTATTCAGTAATCAAATACTGAGGGCTCAGTTTCTCCATATACTAAAAAGATATGCACTGCAAATCTTTACTTATAGTTATTCTTGTTCCTAACTGCAATGGTAGTTTCATCCTTTCCTCTCTACTCTTAATTCTTCTCCCTTTTCTCTGTAAATCTGAACTCCTTAAATTCTGTTCTAATTTGTTCATACAAGGGTTCTTTCTTCCTAGCAGCAGGTCCAAAGAAAAACAAAAGCATGTGGTATTAAACAGCCTTCAAAGTGTGGTGAAAATTTTCAGCACAAAACAAATTATAAGGCAAATGGCAGGTCTCCTGCACTAGTAAAGAGAAGCGTAAGAAAATTGTAGAAGGCTGGGCAAGTAATTTTGTGGCAGGATCAATATACAACAAAAGCTCCCCAACAGACAAGTTGTTTGCTTTGCCAAAGATACAATTTTTTCTTACCTACAGACAGCTTTCCAACATTGTTCTCAGTTTAATTAACGTATTTCTTTTAGTAAAATGCTTCTGTTTAGTATAACAATACTATTTTCTACAGCACTCAATTTGGAGATTCTTCAAGGTATCAGTTACACAGATTGAATCCTAATCTCTTTATTACAGACAGCTACCTAATGCACATATCTTTTTCAGTATGTTGCTTTAGTTCTGACGATCATCAGATTCAAGATTTCTCTTTGCCTAAACCTCCAAAGACCCCAAAATTAAATACAAGTTTGCCTTCGCTCCTTAACTCAGAATACTTGTATTTCTAATTCACTGCTTCTGTAAAGACCAGTACAGTCCCAGACAAAAAAATATTTCAGCTGGCAACACAGTGAGCCCTATAGTTACAGATCAGATTAAATTTGGCAGCGTGCTTTACTGTTGCTCACATTCCTTAAGACAACAACTTCATGTTGGCATACAAATCCTCAGCAGTCTTTTCCTGCCTAATCTTCTTTTGCTTTTAAATTATGAGTGCTCAGCATGCATGGGAATACATTTACCCATGTGCTGCAGTGGTTCTGTCTGCACGAAGTACATCAAACAGGTAGAGCTCCTTCAGAAGCCTCTCACTCTCTTCTGCTGCTTCCTCGGGAGATGGTGCCTGAAAACAAACATAGCATGGAGCACATAGGTGCAACACAGCTGCACTGAGGGAACCACTGCTGGCTGTCCTGCATTTGAATCGCAGTGATCACCAAGTGATCTCAAAACCAGCAAAAACTACATACAAGAAATAACATTCTCAGGAACTGCTGAAGATTAAGAAAGCTATTTTTAGATTATTAAATCCCTTGGACTTTATGCCACCCCAGAAGAAAAACTCAATAAATATACAGTTATGACAACTCTCAAACATCACACTTTGAGGTATTACAGATGTTCTGTTGAAAGGCAGAAGAAGCAGCTAACTCAAGGGCATTCTGTACAGTGAATATATTTACCTTATGGAAATATATATATCCTTGTGTCAGCTCATCTGATCCTTCTCCTGAAAAAATGACCACACTGTCTGTTTTCTTCCGAATATACTTGGAGACAAGATACATACCTTAAAAAAAAGTATAAAGTGATTAAAGCACATCCACATACCTGATGCTATATGAAGCTAGTAGTCTAAAATTTAGCATTTTAGAAATTTGTCTCCTACACTACTTCCTTCTGTAGCAAAAAAATGATATAAAGTAGCATCTCATTATTACTCAAAGCCACCAACAGCCACACTAAGTTGGTGCTGCAAATATATCTAAACTGTGTATTTACACTTGGCCCTGAAAATATCAGAAAGATGTGTCTACTTGTGATCCTGGGAACACTGGAGAATTCCCATGGGAACACAGAGTGGAGTTCTTCTTGTTCAAACTCCATTTGAAATTAAGTGTGTGATTAATTCCAGCACAGTGCTGAAGAAACCTTGTAGCCTTGGGGAAAAGCAAAAGTTGCTGTTTAACTCTCTGCCACTCTGAGTTGAACTGGATGAAGACCTTTTTTCAATTTCTTTTGTAAAGAGTATTTTATAAAACAGAATTATGCCTTCCACTCTATGCATCTTTCTAAATGGGATGTTTTTATAACAAAAGTATTACAAATCTAAAGAGAAGGATCTAATTCATTATTCTACTAAGCAGCAAATCTCAAAGAAAAAAATGACAGAAAAAAAGTTTTTACTAAATGCTTTAATTTTTAAAGAAATGCATTCATTATTTCATGTTGCTAAAACTTCCTCCCATCTTCATGGAGGAAATTCCACCCAGAAAGTTCAGTTTCAAAAACTGTGTTGCCTATTTGGCTTCATAACTCTTTTATGATGTCACAAGATTAACTGGGTAAAATTCTGTAGTTTGCATTACCCAAAAGGTTCCATTGGATTAGGAGTTTTCCCCTCCTCCAGGGAACCAGTCCTCAGGCTGGGACTGCTTTGTTAGAAGCTGCTAATGACTCCTTCACTTCTCAGAATCCAGTGTACATTATAAGAACCTGTGTTACTAAACCTTTGTTACCAAAGAGCAATAATAAAGACTTCACATTAGTATCAAAATTATGCAAGAAAAGGGTAACCATGATTTGCTATCATAATATTCAGTAACTCAGAAAACATGTGAGTTTCTCCCTTCCTCCAAGGTACATATTTACTAGAGCAGAAAACTTGGACTTGCAGATCTAACATTTCTTCTCCATGTAACTATTGCTTTTCATCTCAAAGCTTCAAGAACAGTTCTTGACAGTTGCTTTGTGCAGTCAGGGACTTGTAAATAACTGCTTTTGACTCAGTGTGGTATCACAGATAGGTCTGGGTACCAGAACTTTGGATCCCAGCCCCCAGATTCTGTGCCAGCTGGCGATCTAATAGATGACCATTTAAGTTTGCATAAAATTTTACTTGGGTGATATAAACCAAAGATTGCCATTAAAATTATCTTACCAATGGAAGCTCTTATTGTTGTTATATCGTAGGTTTCCAACGAGAAGATAACTTCCTCAATTGCCTGAATCCCCTCTTCAGTATTAAGTATTACTTCATGATGTTCACTGCCTATATGTGCTGCCACCTGTTTGCAAAAGGTCAAAATAATGCATCACTTTTCAACTAAAACATTTTATAAACATACATTTTCTTTAAAGCAAACACATTTAGCAAAAGCACCAGCTCTCTTCCACTACAATGAAAATTATGACATTAGGCCGAGAAAAGACAATACTTAGCAGACCTCTGACTTGCAGTGGTATGTTCACCAGAGAGACTATAGTCTTTTTAATTACAGTGTTCAATCATGATTGCAACAGATCATCCAGCTGCTTGCCTAAAACGTTAACAGAATCTGTAGAAGCTCTAAATACTCCAGATATCTGCCCTTAGGAGAAAAAGCAGCATCACAAAAGTGATGAAAGCCTGCATAGTACCCCAGATGCCAAAAGGTTTGTACAAAACTGTAATAATTAACTTACAATACTTAACATATACACAAATGCCTCAGTATAGGAACCGTAACAGGGAGACCTACCCTAAAACCCAGAGGCAGAACTGAGACATGTCCAAAATACTGCCCTTTTGACAACGCAAGGGGATTCTGTCATGAAAGTTTTCCAAACCCAAGAGAAACAGGTAAGGTTCCAGTAGCCGCTTTTGTAAGATTAAGCAGCAAGTGTTGTACTAAATTATTTACTGCAAACTGATTTACATCATAGCAATAAATGAATTTTCAGTGTTACTATTAATGTCATACCACGAAGTTAGCACAATTAATATACACTGTTTAGCATTCAGTAGCTCAGAACAAACAGCAATGCTTAAGATACCTTTCTGGCAGCAAGTAAGTCAGGACTGTTTTCCATTCCAATTGCAAAGGTTTGTAATGGATAATTGATGTTGATTTCTTTCATCAGTTTCAGAAGAACAGCTGCAACCAAGCTGGAATCTAAGCCCCCTGCCAAAAAAACAAATCATCTGATTAGGTGTGTGAATGATGTTTTGCTTCCCCCTTAAGGAATCTAGATACTGGAATCCTATGAGTGGGCTTCATTTTTAAGCTGTGTGAATACAAGGTACTTCTCATACAAGTGCATATTTACCTATGTTAATAAAAAATCAGGCAACTTTAGTGGAACAACGTCAGTAACAGTTATCAGTACTTTTGGTGTCAGAAGCATCAGTGGAACTCCTTACTTAGGATAAACAGAAAGTATACTGAACACATTGTACTACTAGAGAATATGCCCCTTCTCAGCTCTACTAAATGGGATTTATAGTCTCCATTTTAAAACCACTCCCTATCTTCCTTTTACCTACACATTTGACAGTCAACTGACAGGACTACGGATTTTTTTTTTTTTTTGTTTGCTGTAAGGAAAGTAATAGAATGCTTAGTGTAAGGGTTCCACTCTTCATTCTTTTTTTTTCCTCCTCTTCTTTCTAGAGGGGAGTGAAACGATTTGAACAGTTTGGATACAATCAGAAAATAAAACCAAGAAGATGCACAAGCTGCCTAAATGTACTCTTAAGGATCCACCTTCTAATTATCATGAACTAGTTCTGCTAATCCTTGGCTAATTCTACTTGCAGCTCTCCTACAGAGTACTGAGCAAAACACAGATGCCCACATCTGCCTGCAGTTCTGACAAGCATGAGGCAAAACCCTCTTCTCTTTGTTTCCCATAGTCTGCATGTGTTTTTTCAGCTAAGTGCATTAGCATCAATTCCCACCCTGACCCCCTTTGTAGACATGCTATCTAGAAAAAATATTTCCTGTTAAAATTACATACAAATTCTGAGAAAAGGAGAGCACAGAAAACTGAGTGCTCAGGATGCGGAAATCAGGAAAATAAAACCCAGGTTTTCCACTGTGACACTCAAGAATTCCCTCTGTGATTAGAAACAAAAGCAACATCTGTGATGTTCCAAGCATACACAAAATTGTGAAGCACTGAGATACTCTGATATTATTTATACCAGTACGAGCATGTAGTTTTGCTTCCTACATGCGCATCTGAGGAGCTGCTGACTGCCTTCTAATTTGATATTTGAAATTTGGGGTTTAAACAAGCTTTTTTACTGAAACTGAGATCTTTCAACTCTATATATCTTCCTATTTAATTTACCTTCTTCCTACTTTTTATAACCGCATAGTAAAGAAATGGTCCAGCAGTATCTCCTGGTCAGTTCTCTCTCATTCAGATGCACATTTAATAGGATTCATGACAAATGAGTGTAATTACTGTTGCCCAGTAAATGCATGAAAAGCATTCCAGAACTCTAACCACAAGTACCAAGTGCCAAACAAACACAGGAAATAAGGTGTCAGACCATAGTTACAGAGCCTTAGCTCTGTAAAACTGAACTATCTGATGACAATAGTGATCAGCTAAGTGAGTGAACAACTTTCTGTACCACAAGCTGTTACCTTATCTGCAAAAGAGTGTAGCAAATAATTTTGGTCCAGATGGTCTCCTGTAATATGGTAAATTAAGGAAGTTTAGGATAGAGACTAAAGCAAAGCTGGCAAGTAAGAATTCTCCTGCTTCTGAAACATGTCAAGGCTTTCTTCTAGGTTCAATCTGTGCAAAGTGAACATAGTAATTAATTTTCTTTTTAGACCAACCTAATCATAAATCTCATGTATTTAAGAATATTGAGTGATTTTCAACAGGAACACTATATTTATTTGTCTTATTTAAAAATGTTCGGTGTCTCAATAAGCCACGATCCCAGCCCAGAGTAAACTTTAAAAACATAACACTTTCAAGATACTTGTACACTGGAAAACTATTCCAAACTAATAAGTTCTCTGCTGCCTGTTTTAAAAGTCAAGTGAAGATTCAGATCACTCCAGGTACATTGCAGCAGAACAGCCAACATACTTTCCTTTAACTACTAGAGGATGGGCAAAAGAGAGAAAAGGCACAGAATCATTGTGGTTCTTGCTACTAACCTGACAGAAGACAACCAATCCTTCTGTGAGCCATCAGACGTTTTCTAACAGCATTTTCAAAGAGAATACGGATGTTGCTTTTCACTGTGTCAAGGTCAAAACCTGCTCAGAAAAAAGAAAAGAGAAGGGTAAAAGATGTCCAAAAAGTGTTACTTAGACTCTGTTGGATGATGCTAACTCAGAAACAAAGAAATTTGTCTGAATGTTCTTTGATAACAAGGACACTCAAGTCCATCTTTCTACATGACCGCCTACAAAAACAATTCTAAAGTCCTTACATGTTAAAGGTTCTTACAGATTGTTTTTTTTTTCTTAAATGGTACTTTTTTAAACCAATCAATGCAAATTTTACATTCCAAGATTACGATTTTTTCACTTTTAAATCAGAGTAAGTAGCAAAATCTTTGCTGTACTACCTGAAGGCAGAGCTTCCACTGTATCACATGCAACATGGAGTGGTTCATCTTTACAGCTATGAAATTTTACTAATTCCACTGATGCAACCTTGCCAGAGGGCTTTAAGTCCAACACTTCATAATGACCCGGAAGAAACGGTTCCACTTTAGAACACAAGGATGTTGAATGCTTTAAGTTGATAAGTCCTACACATAAAATGGGAAAAAAGAAAAATGTAAGAGTTCTTAACTTAAAATGGTTAAGTTATACCTCACTCAACAGCCTCTCTACTAAAACTATATACAAATATTTTATGTTGATCCTAAATCTAGTATTAAAAAAATATCCTTCTGAGTCACCATCAGTCCTGGCCAGAGCATGATTCTGCTTCCAGCAGGATGTACATGTAGATCTGAGCCCTCTCAAGCTGAAGCAGATAGCAGAGAAAGCAAACCAACAAGTTTTACTAATTGGCAAGTAGCAATTTATCCCTGTGAGCACTAGGAAGAACACTTTTCTAACTGACTACATTATGGCCAGGTCAAGGTATAGTATGTTTAGGAGAATTTGAATGACAATTATTAATTAATTTTGTGTTTAAAATTAAGTGTAGTCAACCTAACAAGGAGTTTGCAATAATAAACAACATCACTATAGTGATTGCTTAATTGACATATATTTAGTAATTTCAAAACTCATCAGCTCTAGACTGATCTACTCCACTGCAATTGAATGCCAGGTATAACTTGCAGCCAATCCTCATTTCCATTCCCCCTGTGAAAGAGGATGTTTTGCATTTACTGCAAAAGGCATCACCTGGATGCCTCTTGGGAACATCCTCAAAAGGGACACTGAGTTGCTGTTAGAGAGGGACTGGCAATTCACTGTGACTGTTACAGGACACAGTCTCCAAAACATTCACTTCCCTTCTCTCTTCACAAGCAACAGAAATGGTGCAGCTCTTAGTATTACTACATAGTACTATTAGAAGAGTCAACCTACACTGGAGTCTGATAATAAAACAGATATACAATATATTGGACAGAAATAATTATGAAAGTCAATCTTAGCCAAAGTGCATTTTAGGCAATAAACTCCCTTTTGACACTGTTTGGATTTGTTTGAGATAGTGCCAAGATTAGAGATAATTACTTTAAAAGAGAGAGCAATGATGTGTCATCTCAAACAAAAAAAATCATCATCAAATAAAGTATGTAATTCTGGGAAATAACCCAATGCTGCAATAAATTTCAGCAGGGTTTCAAAATTCCTGGTTTTTACAGATTAGCAGTTCTTGTGGTATAATTACCTAGTTCACTACATAACACCAAGACCAAAATCTAATATAATTTATTGTAGCATAAGGCTAGTCTAAGTCAATAGACTATATTTAACCGTGACCTTACATAAAACATCATCTTGAGTTCAATCCTGCTATGACTCCAGAACACAAAAACTTCCAGTTAAACAAGTAAGTTATTTTAGAAATATTAAGGACAATCAAACATCTTGGATGTTTTTATTTTAATTATGTGGAGTTCTTACATTACTAAATATAGCTGATATATTACTGAACTTACTTTTCTTTTTCTCTTCACACTAAGAAGAAAAGCCCAACAAAGAAGTTTGTCTCCAAAGAAACATCTAAGATTATTTAGCCACTAAACACAACTGGCTTTACCTTTTGCCTCAGAACAGACACCCAAAAATCCATCATCAGTCAGCACCTTAAACAGTGGTCTGACTCCATAGGTATCTCTTGCCAGAAACACTTTTCTGTTTGCAGTGTCCAGAAGGATGAAAGCAAATACACCATCTAGCATGGATGCTGTTTGTTCTATTCCTCCTCTGTTGTAGAGATGAAGGATAACCTCACCATCCACTAATGTTTGATAGTCAAATCCAAACTGCTTCTGCAGCTAAAAAAAAAAATATATAAAGAAAAACATAAATAAGCATTTGCAAACACTAGCTGCTTATTAATTGTTTCATAACAATAATCTTCTATGTAAAATCACAGTTTAAAAGTTATATAAATATTTCTGACAAAGAAGGAAATTATACTTTTGCGTTCAAAGTTGTACTGGGTTTGCGTGGCCTGGCTTTGGTAGTGGAGGGACAACAAGGGTGGCTTCTGTGAGACACTGCCAGAAGATTTCCCCCCATCTGGCAGAGCCAAAGTCAGCTGGCTCCAGGACGGACCCATCACTGGCCAAGGCTGAGTCAATCAGGAATGACAGTAATGCCTCTGTGATAACATTTTCAAGACTAAAGAAAAGTTATTGTGCAGATGTAACTGCGGCCAGAGAAGAGGGGATGAGACCATAAGGAGAGGAACAGCCCTGCAGACACAGAGGTCTGTGGAGAAGGAGGAGCAGGAGGTGCTCCAGGTGCCAAGCTGGATTCCTCTGCAGTCCACGGTGCAGCCCAAGGTGAAGCAGCTGTGTCCCACAGCCCACAGAGGATGATGGGGATGCAGAGATCCACCCACAACCCATGGAGGAGCTCCACACTGGAGCAGGTGGATGCCGGAGAGGAGGCTGTGAACCCATGGGAGACCCATGCTGGATCAGGCTCCTGGCAGGGACCTGCAGGCATTTGGAGAGAGGAGCCCATGATGGAGCAGGTCTCCTGGTAGGACTTGTGACCCTGAGTGGGACCTATCCTGCAGCAGCTGTGCCTGGAGGAAAGCACCCTGTGGCAGAGGGACCCATGCTGGAGCAGTCTGTGGAGAACTGCTGCTGTAGGACAGACTCATGCTGGAGAAGTTTGTGGAGGACTGTGGGAGGGACCCCACACTGGAGAAGAGGAAGAAACCTCCTTCAGCAGTGGCAGGAACATGATGTGATAAACTGACCATAACCACCATTTCCTGTTTCCCTGTTGGGGAGGAGATGATAGAGCTTGGGAAGGAGGAAGGGGTAGAGGGAAAGTTTCTTTTTTCAAGGCTTATTTTACCTCTCATTACCCCACTCTGATTTTGTTGGTAATAAATTTAATTTAATTTAATTTCCCCAAGTTCATTCAGTTTTACCCATTACAGTATTTGGTGAGTGATCTCCCCCACTCCTTAGCTCATGAAGCTTTACTCAGTTTTACCCATGACAGTATTTGGTGAGTGATCTCCCCCAGTCCTTAGCTCATGAAGCTTTAGTTGTATTTTCTCTCCCCATCCACTTTTTGAAGGGAAGCTTTGGTGGGTGCCTGGCATCCAGCGAGGGGCAACCCACTACAAAAATTTAACCCAGGATCATCTCTTAGGCAATGAGACCAACAATGCAGTCTTGAGCAATTCACATTAAGGCAAGTTTTCAAGGATACACTTCTGAGGATGTGAAACTGCAAACCCATGGTCTTCACAAGCACTAGCCAGCCACTGTGTAAGAAAAACCACTGAACTCAAAACACACAGACATGTGCAACATCTCTGCAGAGTAAAGTACTTTGGAAATAATATTTGGTTTACTTATGCAGTCACTACAATTCCTCAGCTTTTTTTATGCAGAGAATTTCCTTCTGCCTCATCTTCCTCCATTCCTCAAACCATTCCTTTCACTCTGACTGTGCATATAGAATGGGAAAGGAAGAAATTAGTTGTCAGACTTAAGTCAGATCAAATATTCTTCATGTTCTTCTGGAGCTACTCTTAATAGTCCTTTCAATACATACAAAACAAAGGGAAAGGAAGTGCTTTGCTAAAACTCCAACAAGCCAAAAAAAAACACAAACCCAATGCTTTAACATTTTAAGTTCCTTGGTTTTAATTGTTACTTATGGGTAAAATTGGCAGTCTTAGATCAAACACTGTAAATGTTAAAATAAGTAAGTCATTGCCCTGAGGAAGGCACCTGTTTCACCAGTGATCCTTTCTTAGGTAGGTTTCAGCCACAAACTTCAAAGAAAAATCTCATTATAAAGAAAGAGGGTACACAATGTAATGACAACAACCAAACAAATTCCTGTAGATGGCAATGCAAGTGTTGTACAGTTAAGGTCCCCTCAGGACTGTGTGCAGCATGACTGAGAGTAATTCTTACTGTTTTCAACAGCAGAAAAGCCACAGAGCAAAACACTGCGAGTAGTACAGACTGGTGGTACAACAGATTTCACACATACTGCAGGACAAAGTCTCACCCTTCAAACAGCCAGATACTGAAGACTGGGGAAAAAAATTAAATCTCCTGGCTATTCAGTCAAATTCCTAATGACATTACTAATGTCACTGATGTGACTGACAGCAGCCTGATATGACTTTAAAAAATGTGACATTAGAAATGCTATAAAATTAGCATTAGAAGTACTATAATATCTCAGATTATTCAAATATGAGAGGTTTCTGAAGCTACCACACTTAGTATGGGACACATTTTACACATTGATTCAGCATGATTCAGAATCAGACACAATTTTAAGCTGCTTTTTACATCAAATTCAGATGATCTGAATCATCCTGCCAATACAGTCAGCATGGACATCTCAGCACAGGGACTGAGGAACACTGACAGTGTTGAGCAGCAGCATCACATCCATCAGAGACATTTAGCACCTTCAGGAACTATGTAAGAGTTGCTACTTGTTTTGTGCCTAAGAGACTTAGGTGGCTCTCAAAAACCTCACAAAAAACCTGACTTCTGCTGCAGACACCTAAGGACTTCCATGGCATACAGGAAACATCTCCCCAAGGCTTACTGCTTTTATATAAATATGTAAGCATGCATACTATGCATCACTATATCTTAAATGACATATCCCATCCAGATTGAGAGGCAATAATAAAAATGCAATACCCAACAACTTGGGAGAATGACGACCCAAAACAACTGAAGAACAAGACAGACTAAAAGCATTAGTATTATGAAGAAAGAAGAAGGGGAGAAAGAGGCTTGAAATGCTTCTCCCCAAGAGATAATGAAGAATGTGTCTTAACTTTCAATTGAACAAACCTGAAGATGTAAGTATTTATTGCCCTTCTTGTTAATTAAAAAGTGATTTTTCAGTATTAAAGATTAAGTATGTTGCTAAACAAGCTACCAGATTCACAGCTCATTGAGATAATTTACTTCCTTTTAAAGACTAGTTCTTTGCTAATTTTCCCATTTCTTTTCTGATATGCTAGTCCAACACATTTTAAAGATGTTCTGAATATCCACTGGTCTTGAAATAAAAAAAAGAAAATTTTTTTTAAAATTGCCTTACCATGTATACAACACTTACCTGTTTGAAATTGTAGATTTCTCCATTGTAACACAGCCACAGGTATGGGAACTTCTTTACCCGGATAGGCTGCATCCCATATAACTGATCAACAACCGCCAGCCGGTGGAAACCAAAACAACAGTTGGTGAAGCCATTGACGTTCTCAAAACGAAATGCATCAGGACCTCTGTGTGCTATCTTCATGGCACTTAGACACTGCACAGAAAGGCACTCATCGCTCCCAAACAGGGCCCAGATACCACACATTGTGAGACTCTTCTTCTACCTGCACGTGGACAACCTGTTCAACAGAGACATGATCACTGTAAGCAGGAGCTGACACTTTGTACTGGGTCTGGCTGAGAGGGAGCTCATTTGCCCCTCAGCGTGCTGTGTTTTGTGTTGGTAACACAGCAGTTTTGGCTACTGCTGACCAGGGCCCACACAGCATCAATGCAAGCCAACATTTCCCTCTCACCAGAAGGCTGGGAGCAGGCAAGATCTTGGAAGGCAATGTAGCCAGGACAGCTGACCTAAACTATCCAAAGGGACATTCCATGTCTGATGTCCGCCCAGATAAAAGATTTAAGGGAAAGGAGCATAAAGGCAGAGCAACTACTATGTGTGCTGAAGCCCTGCTTCCCAGGAAGTGGCTGGACATCGCTTGCTGATGGGAATGAGAGAATAAAATCTTTGTTTTTTCCTTTTGCTTGTGCATGATTTTCACTTTTCCTTAAAAGTAAACTACCTTTACCTCAACCCATAAGGTTTTTTATTTTTCATCATGTTTTCTTGCCCCTCATTCCATCCTGCTGAAGAGGGAAGTGATAGTGCCTTGGTGAGCACCTGACATCCAGCCAAGGTCAACCCACCACACACCTGAAAACCACAGATAACAGATGTAGGCTATTAATCACTTAACTGTCAAGATGCCTGATAAAAAGAATAGCAGACTTATTAACATGAAGTAAAACCTGGCTTGCTCAAGGTATGATAAGCAAATTTTAGCCAGCAAGAAAATAGGTTTAAGTTTTACCTTTAGATCCAGCAAGACTATCTATGACTTTTTATTTATAGAGCACGAATAGAACAAATCATTACTGGTCATAGAGTATGTTAAAGCAGAAACATTAAACATCCTTTCAGTTTGCTGCCTTTACATTCAAAGGGGGTTTGTACAAAGAGGGAGGCTCTTTAGCAAAACCTGCAGTGACAGGACAAGGGGGAACTGTTTCGAGCCCAAGGAGCACAGGTTTAGACCGGAGTTCCCCATCGGCGGCGCGGCAGGCCCCGAGGCAGAGGCGCGGCGGGAGCAGCGCTGCTGCAGCGCGGCGTCTCCGGAGGCACACACGGGCCTTGCCTCTGAGCCCTACCCCAGAGCACGTGTGCTCCAGCTGGGACCGCCCGACCAAGCCAGGTCGCTGGAGACAGCAGCCCAAGGCGGCCTCAGGGCTGAAGTTCAGAGAGCCACAAAGCCCACAGCTGGGGACACACGGGCGCGAAGCGTGCCAAGGAGAGCACGGCACCGCAACAACACTGCTCCGCCTCCCACATCTGTCCCATCTGGACATGCGATGGCGCTGCGGACCTCAGCCTCAGCACATGGAGCTGGGCTTTCCCACCATCTGGAGCGGCCTCCTGGCAACCAGCGGTCTCTGAGCGACCGCGGGCACCCGGGGCAGGTTCCCTCTGCGCACCCGCTCCCCTCGGGCCCTTCCACACAGCCGCCCCTTCCTCCGGCGGCCGCCGCGCATCCCCCCGCCGCTCCCTGGCCAGCCGGCGGCAGGAGGCCGAGTACCGCGGCAGCTCCCCCGGACGGCAGCCCCTCCGGCCGGCCCTGCCCGCCGCGGCCCCGGGCCGCTCCCGCCGCGCTGCCTTACCCGGTGCTGGCCGCCGGCGCACGGAGAGCCGCCGTCCGCGCCGCGCCGGGGAACGGAGGAGGCGGGCCCGGCGGCCGCGGCTCCGCCCCCGCCGGCCCCTGCTGTTGAAACACGCCGCGAAGTTTCATCATGCGCTTCCTCGTCCTGCCCTGGCCCACGGCCGTAGTCGTATCTCCGTGTGCAGCCGGCGTGGGCTGCCCCGCGGCAGGGCAGCGGCTCGCAGGCCGAGCGGCGCCGGCTCCGGCACCTGCCCCGGGCCGCTGTGGGGAAAGCGAGCGCCGGCAGGCGCCGCTGGGCGCTCTGGGTGTCGTGGGCTCGGGCGGGCGATTTGTAACTCTCAGAAATCCTGTCCCTGCAGGGGTGCTCCGAGCCCTGCCTTGTGTGGTGTCTGTGGAAAAGAGCTAAGGCACTGCCCTAAAGCTGCTTTATTTGTGAAGAGGCAAGTCCATGCGAAATTCACACCTTTGGAGGCGTTTGCCGAGGATGTACGATTTTTCTGTGCAAAACTAAGTTCTGAATCGTAGACATGATGAGTAAAACAGGATTTTGGTGCTTACCTGAACTTCGTTATTGGACAGTTTTGCCTATTTGTCTTTGAGAGTGCTAAAGTAAACGAAATTCAACTCTGAATAGTAGGATGTGAAGTGTTAAATATAAACCCTAATTCTCCACCAATACTTTGAGGGAGAAATTAGTAATTCGCATGCAATGTGCTTTCATATCCAGTTTTAGTGGAGTTACTGTAAAACTGCAGTACTGTGCATAAAGTTCTTCAGGTCATGCAGTTTGTCAGCAGAAAGTATGGTCTGTGTGTAGAATTTTAAAAGGACCTTTAAGAAAGAAAAATGTGTTTAAGCATCCTGTGCATGAGAAATAGACTTCAGTGCTGATCAGGAGTAGATGTAGGATGTTTCTGTCCAGCACAGCTTCACCTGAACGCAGGCAGCCTGCAAATGCCGTGTGTACGGTTCCCAGAGCTGTGCACTGCCTGGAAGGACAGGTTATAAGTGTGTGCAATGGCACATGGAGTCACTGCTCACAGGAGAGCAATGTTTGTGGTGAGGAACACCTTATTTCTTGAGTTTTTTTCCAGAGATCTAAATGTCACTCTGCACTTTGGAAAGCTACAAGAAATAGTAGACAAACCTTCTACTGACTTAGCTTGTTTTGCGGGGTTTGTTTGTCAGAAGCTTTTGTAAGCAGCCTTTCTTTACTTCTTTACTTCTTTTCTCCATGCAGAAGAGATTTTTTAAGGGGTCTCCTTAGGCTCAAATTGTTGTCTGGGCACTTTCATTGATGGTTCCTAACTGAATAATTCCTTCTGGTTCATAGCTAGATCTCATAAAGTGCTTTATGATAGTCACAAACCATTTGGTACAATAAAAATCTTTTAATGGAGAAACTGAATCAGGGAGACTGAGAAGTGACTTGCAGAAAGTGGCTTGGTAAGGCTGGATAGGTCAGGGTAGAGCAAAACCTCTCAAGTCCTCATTAAAGCCTGCATCTTTAGGGTGCACTGGGTAATTTATCCTACCCTTAACTATCGCTTCTAAAAACTGGGGATAACTTCTGCATTTAACTGTGTCTTGCATGTTTAATGCCCAATTTTACTGAAGTTGATTGTGTTATATATGGGGCTATTGTCAGAAATACTACACATGATCTGGTCTTTAATATTGGCAGTGTTAGTGTTTGGTAGTTATAAACGCACAAGAAAAAACTGATATGTCTCTGCCTTTTCTCTACTATTGTCAAGTAGCCCATTATAGTCTGTTAATATAAAGTCTCACTCTTCAATATCCAGTCTTTTCTTTCAGCATATCTGCAGACAGCACTAGATGTCAGTCTCTCACCTGTCTTTTTCTCAAGTCACACCTTCTGTCTCAGTTTTCTCATTCCTGCAGACATCATGTGTAATACTTTCTCCAAAGCATTGCCTTCTCCACTCTACTCCTCTAAAGCTGATTTTTTCGTTACATTTTTGTTGAAAGAAATGTACATTGCTTCTAGCTGGGCTGAGAGAACTAGTATGCATGTAAATATTGGGTGCCATTAGTAGCTAGGAGACTTTCTGCTTTGTGATATGTATCTGAGAATTACCGCTTGGCCACAGAATAAAGCCATTTAATAATGGCTGAAAAACCTTGTAAGAAAGGTCCTGATTAATGAATTAGGAAGTGCTTGTCTTAGTTTTGTTTCTAATCAGCTGAGATGAAAGGCTAAGAGGTTTCTCTGAAGGCAAGAGGTAAATGAGTAAATGAAAGGTCGAAGTTAACAGTTAAACCAAAGCTAACAGGTACGTGAATACAATGTAGAACGAACTGGTGCAGCTTCATGTCTCACACTGAACTGGTTGCTGTGGGCTCAGCTCTTAATTGAGCATTGCTCATAAATGAAGTCTGTGTTCCTTATTTTGTCCCTTTAAAGATGAGTAGCTTTGGTGCATCTGTTGAATGTGGTGCCACCAGCATGCTTGGAAGACTGGAAGTATCTAATTTCTGTGAGATTAATGAAATGTGTTTGGACAGGGGAGAGAACTGAGGGGAAGGGGACAACTGGAGGCTGTGATTAACAAAGGCAAATGGTTAAGGTCTTTTAGCTTTCACAGCAATGACTAACAAATTAACAACCTGTGGTACAGGGTTTTTATCTCCTGAAGATAACCCTCATGAGAGGGCTTTTTTGCAGGAGAGAACACATGTCAGCTGATTTTGTGATAGTGGCTCTCCCAGCTCTCTAGTCCCATCCTTTGCTCTCACTGGAGCTGTGCAAGAAAACAGGATCTGAAGTGGAAAACAATGGCAAGACTCCAATATTAGAGAAAGACTTTCCATTTTCTGCCAGCATCCAATGCACATTCTCTGGAGTTTCTCAGTCAGGAATTCAACACCCTTTGCTGATGGTGAAAGTTGCCACAAGTGGATTAATGGACCAGATCATTAAGATGCGCAGGTCTGTAAAACACCAGAAATTCTATATGTGTGTCTCAGCACAGCGTTACACCAGCCCTTTGCACAGAAATTACTAGAGAAGAGGCATTCTGCACCCTACCAGGCCACCTACTTGGTCACAGACTGTTTAAAATGCTTCATCACCAACAATTTGAAGGATAATAAATAAAATGCTGAAACAATTTCGGGTTTTGAAAAATTGAAGATGTTGGCTGTGGGAAGGAGATGCATCTTGTCTACACTTCTAAGACTCCCTTTGCAAGCAGTATCCATTTTTAGCTTGGACCAACTACTTGGACCAACTGTTCTCGATCTGGCCTTGAACACATCCCAAATTGTAATAGCAAGACTTGTATTTTCCTTCTAACTTGTGTAATAATGGTGGTGTGGGAATAGGCAATTCCAGGTCTCCAGATGCCTCAAACAATCCTTTTTTCAGCATTCAGTGACTGAATGTTTTCTGGGACAGGGACTGAGCTTGAAAGAAGAAGGTTGTTCCTCCTAATGGAGCTGCATAGAAAGATCCCTATACCACGGTGGCACAGCAATCCATTATACTGAGAGAGATCAGTGGTGGGCAGAGCTCCGGGAAAGGTGGAAATCAGTTCCTACTCCCCACTCACATGGGTTGACATAAACAATGTGTCTTGTACCTGGCTATCTTTTAAATGCAGAGGCTTGTTGGATATGTCTACGTTCACCTGGCAATAGTTGTAGTGCGAGGTGTTCTGCTAACACATCTGACATCTGAAATGCATGTTTGTGTGTCAAGAATATGCACACGCAGAGAGCAAAGGCCTTTGCCTATATTGGTTTTCCTTCCCCAAGAGATAGTAACAGTATGTGCTCTTGAAGTCTGAATGCTTGCGCTCAAAATATCAGGCAGGACCATACTTTAACTCCTGAGTAGAGAAAAAAATGAAAAGAGAAACTGTCAAATTCAAAACCTGTTTGAAGATCCATATCTTGAAGTAAGGTAGGCTCCCATTTGTATTATTTAGTCTGGCTTTTACCCAGAGGGACTATATCACATGCCAGCAAGCTTGCAGCTTTTAAATAACTTACTGACCTAACAGAGCTCTTTGTTCCTATAATTTTGAATTTATTTATTTTTCCATTTTTTCTTGTCTGTTCCTTTCCTTTCAAAGACATTTAAAGGACATACAGTCTACTTGTCTCTCCTCCAGACAAAATCTTTTTTCTCATAGTATAAAAGTAGCTGTTTCTCCCACTGGGAGTTCCTATTGCTATAGTCTCTCTTTTTTAATCCTTTTTCTTTTCTTCCTGCTTAATTATGTTAAGCTTCAAAACAAATAAGACTTGCTCTGACCTCGGACTTAGAGGTCACAGCACTGCTGAGTGTTGAAAGAAAATCTTCTCTAGAGCCTGGGCATTCAGGACTTCAGTAAAATACCAGGAAGGCATGGCTAGTGCAGCAGCAAGGGAAAACACAAAGTAAGGTGATTTGTTATTGCCTGCACAAAAGACTAAGCATTTTTCACCACTGCTGCATCCTTTTTTTAACATCCCAGCCCTTCCATCATGCCCCGTGTTTCTTAGCACAGACAAGAAAGGGTTGTTGAAAGAGCTGTTGGCCATACAGTGCACATGGCAGGCATGGCATATGGCACACCAATGGCTCTATTGTCCAGGCCAGGACCACAGAGGAATGAAACATTGCTGACTTTAACTCAATAGTGGTCTTGGCTAATGAGAAGGAATCCAGTGTAATTTAGTCTCTTCCTGGGTAGGGGGAGACAGGAACAAACCACGAAACCAAAGCAATACATATATGTTTTTTTAACCACTTACAGAATAAAAAAGAAAAAATAGCTGTCTGATATTGACTATGCAACATAAACCAGCATAATTCTCTAGAGTTCTTAGAACCACAATGGT